AAAGTGGGGCGTCTGTTTGGCTGTGTGGGATGTACAAATTTGCAGCCACGTCCGGTCAGAATGGGGACGTTAAATCCGATGCCTCGTGTGAAGAGAGTGCCACGCTCTTTGCACGTTAAGAACCCTTGCAACAACTCTTTGAGGGGTCCGTAGGTGACCTGTTGCAAGGCTAAATTTCTGTCCCTATCCAATATACCCTCTTTGGTTGATGTAAAAACTGGATTAACAACACTCGGAATTTGAGGAACACTTGCAGGAGGACTGGAAGCCTGAGAAGCAGATGGAGCAACCACAGGAATGTTTAGTTGTTGATTTAACCATGATGTAATCGGTTCTCTAAAATGCACATAATGAACATAATTACTAATGTCATCCTTCTTATCGCACACTTCAGAAATCAAATCATGTTCTTGATCACCTTGTTTGAGTATACGCACCTCAGATTCAGCTGCTGCTACTTTACTCTCCTACTTCACAATACTTATGTCAGCTTCTATTGCTACCTTTTGTTTCATCAGTTCACTTTCCTTTCGAATAAATTGTAGTCGCACTTGAACTGCTAACTTGTGATAATTGTTCAACTAACTCAGCTTTCTTTTTCTTAATTTCAGAACTAACTTTCCTGTATGTTGCAACACACGTTACAAAATAGTCATTATAATCGGTTAACACATTTGTTTGTGCTCTTGTTAAGAAACCTTTGTACTCTTCGGACCGACGACAAAAGTTTCTATAGTGACCGTCAATATCTGTGTTTAACTGTCTTAAAGTTCCTAACGTGTTACTCGAAGGAATAGTTATCTTCAACTTTAGACCAAACATTTTCACATTTGTCCCGCAGTTCATTACTTTGGTCGTCAAACATGGTTTGTCCTTTGATTGTAAACTTTCTGTTTCGCTTTTCACGCGTTTCAGACATACGTTTACACTATGTTTTTACTATTCCGCTCAGGTACTAAGCAGATAGTTTACCATACAGTTATTTATGATACTTTTTGGAAAAGCTACATATTGAACAAAAGATACAACAATATGTATGTAATTTTATGTATGTATGTCGAATCCCTTCTCCGGTGGTTATGTAATTCCATGGATATGATAGGACGGTTGCGAGAGTCGGCAAAACAAATTAGAGGAAATCAAAGAGTCGGGAAGCAGACAGCAAGAAAGAGAATTCAGACGAAAATTAGAGGCAGAAAACCGAGAGCTTAGGTTGATTGATTGTTGGTTGCTTAAATTCCAGTGGCAAATATTTCATGCATATTCAGGACGAGAACAAATTTACAATAAATACAATAGGTAGGTTCTGTAATGTAGGCCATCCGGGATTAAGGTCGGGGAAATTTAGACTGCCACTGGAAAATGAGGGTAAATTGGATTGGGACAGCAATTTTGCCTTGCAACAGGTCACCTACGGACCCCTCAAAGAGTTGTTGCAAGGGTTCTTAACGTGCAGAGAGCGTGGCATTCTCTCTACACGAGGCATCGGATTTAACGTCCCCATTCTGACCGGACGTGGCTGCGCACTTGTACATCCCGCACAGCCAAACGGACGCCCCACTTTAGCGAGGGTTTTACCGCCGGTCGGAGGAAGACCAATGGTGACCATATTTCTATTCCCCAGTCACCCTTGGGGGGACCGAGAGCTTAGGAGACAAATCGCTGAAAACAAGTGGAGGAATGAACTTTTCCAAGATATAGACAAACTTGATATTTAATATTGTGATGAGAACTTATTTATTATATTTATTGTTGCATAATTTTATTTAAATAACTTAATTTATTTCAGGTTGAACATTGTTATAGATATCTATTTGTTGAAATTATTGAATATTTTATTACTTGTTGATATATTAATGAATATTTTATTACTTGTTGATCTATATAAGTTATTGAATTCTATGGTAGGCTAAATTTTGATTGCAAATTGTGTTTACTTTAACTTTATTGCAGATAGACATTGAACAATACATACTTAACCTGTAATTTTATACATATATTATTAGTTACTTGTGTAAATTTAATAATTGTTTTAAATTATATGTTTTAGGTTATATTCCTGCCACTTTGGACTAGTGTGTTTTTGCACATTAGGTCTTAAGAGGGAGGGAGTGTGACGAATAGTCCTTAAACATTTCAGGGGTTTGGTTAACTTTTCTTTTCTTTTATTCTATCTCCGTTTTATTAATAATTCTTGCAGTTCCGGCCATTTTCTTTCCACCGCCGGACCACTTCCGGTGTCCTGGTAGCCCGGCCGGGCCTATGACGTCAATTGGGGATAGAAATACGTAAGCTCTAGGGTTTGGGGGAGTGCAATTTTTGGGATTAAAACGCCAGTTGATAGTTTACTTTATTATATATTCTACATTTTTATCTAAAACATACTTATATCTTACTACCCAGGTAAGGACTAACGTAAACTTGACCATCGTATTCTTGATAGTTGATATTTATGGCTTTAATACTGTAAATGTGAACTAAATACATGTAAACAGCACGTAATAAACATATATACTTTAATAATCGTCATTTTATTAGAGAACCTGGGAAAACTTTAGGCAAACGGGAACAGGTTAACACTAATCTGTTACATCAGTAAGACGGGGTAACCAGAGGGATTCTGTGGGTGTTTTTGGCAATACATTTGTAGTTGAATGAGGAAATTCATGTTTAGATGATGCAGATGATACTTGCATAGATGAATTTTTTAAAACCTGTGTAGATGGAGCAACACCATTGCAATTTTGATTTGTTGCTAGGAAATCATAACGGGATTAAAATGCTTGGTTACCAACCTTAAATTTGTTTCGTTTCTTTTTGCCTTTCATGTTTCAAAATTAATACACTCTGTAAGATGTGTACAACTCTAAATTATGATGTCATAATGCAATGACGTCACAAAAACAATGACGTCACAATGTACTCTTCCCATAAAAAATAACCCATTTTTCCCACTTTCAACACACATACAAAAAAAACCTCTAAAATTCTTATTCCTTGATGGATTTTGAAAACAAGACTAGTTTTGGAAAGGTCTGTGACTAATCTTTACAGTAATGAAAATATATAAGAGCTTTGTATTCGATAAAAAAATATAATAGAAAACAAGACTATCAGGATGGAGAAATTTCTTAAATCTGAAAGTTTTTAAGTAAAAAACACTATATTTACATGATTTTTTAACAAAAAATGAGGATTTGTAGAAAGTCTGTAAGGTAGAAGAGGCTTATAAATTGCAGTTATACCAATAAGAGTTAAAACAAATGTTTAAATCGAAAATTTATAACATATGCTTATTGTGTTTTTTTCTTCCTTAAGGTAGAGACGGACGGGTATCACATGACCTATTATAGCACGTGCATTTTGCGTAATTAAAATCGGTTCCGATTCTTTTTTTACGCAATCGGTAGACAAGGTAAACAAAGAAAATGGCAGACGACTGCGACCGCCTTCGTGTTCGCGGTCAGTTTATTAAGAACGACAGATTCAAAAAATCTAAAAGGATGGACACTTTGAACGAGAGAGATAAATTTACTCAATGGGGAGACCATGATTACGGTACGAGGGGATAACCGACAATGATTCAAGAGACACCGGTATCAGTTGAGAACATAGCCTCCAATGTTACTGTTTCAACTGATATCGGACACAGTAAAAACATCTTATGGAATGAAGGCAGGAGGGTTGTTGAGTTGGAAGTGCTAGCGGAACAACTCTTCTGCAACAGATGCAACACCCCACTCCATCTGAAGGATATAGTAGGTGAAATGAGGTAAACAATAATTTTTAGCACCCCTTCATTTTTTACAAACTATCAAAACAATGTGAAGGTTGTAGGAATATGATTGCAATTCACTTTCAAATATGTCCTGCTGGCAGAAATCTTTACAATTTTTCTCTCAATCCAAACCCTTGTAGGAAATCAATACTAACAGGACAGCGATTGTTTCTTTGCCTATTATACATTTTAGCTCACTATGCGATATGGGTTTTACTCATTTTTGTAGGCCCTGACTGACCGATAGTTGTTAAATTCTGTGTCATTTGGTCTCTTGTTGAGATTTGTTTAGAGAGTTGTCTCATTGGAAATCATACCACATCTTATATAAATAGAATATTTGGTCTCACTATAATTAGCGACAAGAAGCGTCAAGAAGAAACAAATTAGCGACAAGAAGAATAATTTAGTGACAAGAAGTATAATTTAATGACAAGAAAACAAATTTAGCGTAAAAAATCTAAATATTGATTATTCTAAATAAATAAATAATTTTTGAAACATACATTAAATTGTCTTGTTTTAATCAAAGATTGGTATACAAATCCTTGTTTTAATATATGAGAAACAAGAGTTCTTATAAACTTTGTTTTTTTATTGTCAAGAAAAGGTTTAAGATAATATACCTTCAATTTACAACATAGCAACATAGTGTATAGATGAATGAATCAATATTGATGTAGAGTCGGCATGGTTGATATATCAAAGATTAAAACCAAATTATAAGATAATATAATCTTGATTTATTTCAGACTTTTAGATAAAAAAGGGCAATACATAGATAAGATATTTTTATTTCCAATTATGGGCCCCAAAGGGCATAAACATTACAACATCAATAATTTTTCATAATACAATACAAACAATGAGATAAAAAAAAAGAAAATTTAACGAGAACTATTTAAGTTCTTAAAGAATACGTAGATAAAGAATCTATAGTATGTTTTTTTTTAATACTAATGCATTTTATTGCAAGTGTGGTTGATATAGATAACAAACAAGCAGCCCAAAAAGGAAAAAGAAAAATAGATATCCATATATTCATGACACAAATTTTTCTGTCATAACAGGATAAAAGGTACAAATATTAACATTATTAATCAAAAACATAAGGTATACACGAAAGTTTGGATAAAAAAGGGGGGTAATTTTTAATTTTTTTTTTAAATTTTAAATACCATTTTTCTCAATTTTTATGGATCCCTAGTATAATTAGATGATTTATTTTCTATAAATCTATTGTTTTAATAGTAAATAAACTTTCTTGTCGCTATTTTTTTCTTCTTGTCGCTAATATTTTTCTTCTTGTCGCTTCTTGTCGCTAAAATTCTTCTTGTCCCTAATTAGTGAGACCGGAATTTTGTTTCTTTTCCCTTCCCCTTATATAATGCAACCTACACAAGAAAAATGTCCCTACTCAAAAAGTTTTGTTTTGACATTCTAAATAGAAATACAAAATGTAGTTGTTTTCTTTCAAGTCTCTTGATAAATAATAAAAAATGTAAATTTCATGACATTTTTGTAAATTTCCTTTCATAAATATTAAATAAGATATTTTTCCTACATGAACCTTCAGGTACATTTTTGTACATGTACCTACCCAGTACTTACCCACTATATAAAATTTGGGTCTAAAAAGGGGAAACAACATATATTTTAAGTTTGGCCTCACGATAAAACAAAATGATATCAGCTACCTTTCAGTATATTCAATTTTTATCTTACAGGTACGGCTTAGGTAGTCTTTTGGAGGTGGTATGTCAGATATGCTCTGGTATGAAACTGGTATCTACAGGCAAGCGGAATGAAAAAGGCGCATTTGATATCAACTCAAAAGTTGCTCTTGGTATGTGCAAAAAGCTTTATTGTAAGAAAAAAAGTAGGAAAGTTAGATTATTAATTCTATTTTATTTATCATCCTGACACGTATGTTTTTTAAAGTAGTTTCTTTCAAACTCATGACATGGGTATGGGGTGTTCAAATTTGTGTACTATGTAGTGTAATTTATTATTTACAGTGTTGCTTACACCAAGGATTGCTAATATGTCTATGGCTTACAGCGTAGCTATTACAAATCACTGCAGGGGCTGTATATATTGTTCTTTCTAATTAAAAACTTGCCTAAGTAAACTAAGAAAAAGATTTTCTCATTTCGGGGATGAAAATTTTTATTCTATTTTTATAACACTATTTTGAATTAAGAGGGTTTTAAGCATTATTAAAAAAAGAAAAAAAAATCTTATCTTTATACCCACACTAGTTGGTAAACAGCAAACCAATAATTTATTAAAGATGGCCTTAAATTAATTTAAGTAAGGAAGTTATAATTTCTATGTATTTCTGCTTGAATATTAAAAAAGTCATAATGAATTTTGACATTGAATTTTGTGAGCTCACTAGGTTGTAGCGCTATCAATTGTCACCTGAGCTCTATTATTGAATTGTAATGCATTTAATTGATAAAGATATATATATGCAGTATGTAGGTGGTAATCATAGTAAATCATAATGATTTCAGCAATGATGCACTCTGGAATGGGTCCTGATCATGTTGTGAATTTTCTCAGCACATGTAACATACCCCCACCTGATCTCAAGACACTGAAAAAGGAGGAGAAATGTATAGCATTGTCACTTATGGATGAGGCATCCGATTCCTGTAAAACTGCTAGTGCAGAAGAAAAAGCTATTTCCCCAAGTGATGAATTAGAATGCAGTTTTGATGCTGGTTGGCAAACAAGAGGCTCTGGTTGGCAATATAACAGTAACACAGGTATCATGTCAACATCAGTAATATTATAGAAATAAAAGTGGAAGAGTTTATTGATGTGTGCTCACTAGGTTACCGAATTGCATATAAACTGAATCAAGTCAGACGGACTTTATGTAAAAATTAAAATATGCATGTTAGTCTTTAATTCTGTCAGGTTTACACATCAATAAACTCGTCTAAAATAACTATTTAGGTTCCAACTATGAAAATCATAGGTAAATTTAGGTTTACCCTTGTCCCTCTGTTTATCTGTCCTTTCCTCCCAATTTTAGTTAAGTTTTTATGTTTAAGTCCATATCTCACCTACTGTACATGGTAGACCAATGATATTTGATCAATAGATATACCATATGAATAACTAGTAGTACTGCACATTGGGGTTCACTAAAAAGTAGGCCATTCTACCCTACAGTAATGTGTTGAGTATAAAAAAGAAGATGTGGTATGATTCATAATGATTGCCAATGAGACAACTCTCCACAAGAGACTAAATGACACAGAAATTAACAACTATAGGTCAATGTACAGCCTTCAACAATGAGTAAAGTCCATACCGCATTGTCAGCTATTTAGGGCCCAGAAATGACAATGTAAAACAATTCAAACAAGAAAACTAATGGCCTAATTAAAGGTCCATTTCTCAGCTACTATTTTATTTCAATGAAATTTTGTAATAAGGTAGATTGTGATATTGGAACAGATACCTGACATTGAAATTTTTAGGTTTATTTGTAACTTGTGGCTAAACAGCAAAAAAAAGCTAAGCAAAACTCACATTTACATCTGTGTCATATAGATAAACCTTATAAGTTATATTTGCAAACATTATCCTTTTTTTTCTATTTTGAATACAATTATCAGAAACTGTTTTTGACCTTTTCTTATGTGACTAAAAAGGACACGGAATTCGTATATTTCAGGACATTCCAGTCTAGTTGGTGTAAAGACAGGGAAAATTCTAGACTATGATATAAGAACTAAACTTTGCAGTATATGCCAGCATCATTTGGGAAGAAAGGAAACAATTCCAAATCATCAATGCAACAGTAATTGGCAAGGTACACAAACAACAATTTTTTTAAAACGTTTTTTTCCTGCAAAATCCAAAGATTTAAGGTTAATCCAGCCTTCTGTGAAAACGTCATCATATCCACAATCTGTTTTAGTTTATGCAAATTAGTCATCCAGACAACAATACGAATATCACAAGTCGTAACTATAGCTAGCACATACATTTGTAACTAATAATTTTTTATAGCGATCTTGCCGAATGGAGGTTGCCCTATAGTGACCAGTCTGTCCGTCTGTAACAAGTTGTGTCCCCTCTATATCTAGAAAATCATTATGATTTCATACTTGGGTTTCAGTTGACAACCCATGTCCTATGGTGAAGATTGTGTCTGCTCTATATCTTCAGAACCATTATGATTTCAAAGTTTATACTTAACATGTATATTAACCAACACCAGAGGGTGTGTCTTTATGTATGTACAGCTTCATAGGTCAAAGGTCAAGGTAAAAAAACTTTGGTTCTGTTGACAATCACATGACCATAATGGTAAAGATACAAACAAATTTCCACACATTATTCACAGCGAGGCCCACAGAGATGGCTTCCATCTCAATGAGTCTAGTTTTAATTATTACAGTTACAAAAACATAACTTTTTGTTTTGGTCCTTGAAAAAAGGACAATGATATTTGGTTTATGATTGCATAGTCATAACACCGCCTTATGGCTATGCGCTTACAAATCAAGTATGTGTGTTGTGTACCACCATGACCTTTAAATGACCTTATTCTTAGACTACAATGTCAAATAATTTAGTTTTGTAAGTTATAAGAAGGGAGATGAAATATGTTTCAGTCATCCAAAACAGTTCTCACGTAATTAATTGTATTAATTACAATGTCCTTTTTTGTTACAGGGTCAAGTAAAGGCATGGAACCTGACATGGCTTTATCCATGGTTACTAGGATGGACGACAGAGGGTGCACAGTTGGCATTATTCACGCAGATAATGACTCTACAACAACATGGAAGCAAAAATTTGAAAAAATTAAAAAAAGAGACGACAAGAACCATGTCAAGAAAAATCTGTCAAAACAACTGTATGCAGCAGCAAAGAAGTACAGAGAGCTGAAGGGGAAAGGAGTTATTCCTTACATACTTATATGCTATATGTATGCTATAAGTTCAAAACAGTCAAAGGAGGATGAACTTTGTGAAAGATTAGACAGTGTAGTTCCACACCTCTTTGGAGACCATTCAGGCTGTTCTGGGGATTGGTGCACATATTCCAAGCAACCCTCACCATACAGGTTTGAATTTTTTAAAATTTGAAGGATGTTATACATATATATGAACGTTTTTTTTTATATTTTTATTATGAGTGATATATGCCAGAACAAAAGTTAAGTTTGGGAGCTGTTATTGCTATTTTAAATGCTGACAACCAATTTTGTCATATAAATGCAGAAAAAAAACAATATACAATAAAACAAGTACATGATGGATAGATGTCTCATTGGCACTCATACCACATCTTCTTATATCTACATCCTCTCATTCTATAAAACAAACAAAAACAAAAGGTTTTTCTCCAGGTAAATACAATTATAGGACCATTAGGACCAAAATAATTTACAGACAATAAAAAGACTTGTAATGGTTAATTGAAGAACATTTTTTCCTGGAATTGTCCAATAATTGTGTTGTATTTGAATACTTGCCAATGGACTATTCCATCTGTGATGTTACTATCACCAAATGAGTTTTCGGGTGACTGAAAAATGTAAGATAAAACCATCAGCAAATATTCAAATACAACACAGTTATTGTTATGCACAAGTCTTATTTTCTCAATAAATTTTTATGCCCCATTTATGGGCATTATGTTTTCTGGTCTGTCTGTGCGTCCGTTCGTCCATATGTCGGTTCGTTCATCCGTCCGTTCGTCCGTTCGGCTGTCCCGCTTCAGGTTAAAGTTTTTGGTTGAGGTAGTTTTTGATGAAGTTGAAGTCCAATCAACTTGAAACTTAGTACACATGTTCCCTATGATATGATCCTTCTAATTTGAATGCCAAATTAGAGATTTTGTCCCATTTTCACGGTCCACTGAACTTAGAAAATGATAGTGCGGATGGGGCATCCATGTACTTGGGACACATTCTTGTTGTTTTTATATTTTGGAAATGTCATCTGTGGCACAGCGCAAAAAATTTCATCCAACAGGTAGATCATTAGTTTTACCCCCTGAAGATATGTAATGTTGTCCAATCAAAATCCTTGTTATAAAAAAAAATGCATTACAATACATAATGAATAACACAGTTCAGCCTCTTTAGGAATATTCAAGCAAGCTATTTAACTAAATGGACAGGTAAATAAAATTGTACAGTATAGATCAATTTGAAACATTGCCATAAATCAACATTCATATAATGTATGACATTTCAACTATTTTCTTTGATATCATTTCAGATATAAACATCTCCCAAAAGGTGAACCATTGACAAATAAGAACCTGCGTAATCAGTTAGAGACAGAAAATTACAAGAAAAGATCAAGCCAACTTGTAGATTTAGGCTCAACACAGAGCAATGAAAACTTCAACAATATAGCTGCAAGCAAGGCTCCAAAAAATAGGTCAGTAACTAAAAACATTGATTATAACCTTTCAGTAACATCCCAAAATGATTCCAACATCAAACACAAAGAAAATGAATATAAACATAGCAATACAAAATAGAATTCTTTCAATTTCAAAGGGAGATGATTGCTGTTTATCTGTTATTAGAAAATTGACTATTTCAGAATTTTTTTCTCTGAAAACTGACTTAGCAGAATTCTTTTTTTAAACTATGATCATTAGCATATTCTAAAAAAACAATCCTTCATTTTGATATCACTGTATAAACAAAAAATAACCAACAGTGCAAACGGTTTAACATGAATTTAAGTTTCACTTTATAAAATTAAATTTTTGATATGAGGGGGGCAGGCCTAGGAGACGACAGGTGGCAAAGGTTTTGTGATTCAACTCCAAAACTTTTAAAGATATAATTTCAAAATTTTAAAAACTAATATGAGATCTTATGAAACAAAAGTGAACAATTCAAAAATGTTTGAACAGTTATTCCCCCTGAAACAGTTTTATAATAATTTTAGCTAATTTAATCTTCTGACAGCTGCTTTACAATATTAACTGTGAAATTTCTTTTTGTAGATCATATGGTGGAACCAGCTCATTAAAAGCAAGAGTTTCAGCTGCAGTTCTTCAGAAGTATGAAGGTTATACCTGGGTTAACAAGGTATTGTGTTACAGCTTATATATTATATATACTGTGTATTTCCTGTTTTATTTTACCCCATGTAACATAAACATAGTATAATGTTTGTGACCTGTCATTTTAGGTTTCTAAACAATAATTTGAAAACTGATACAGTGATTTTTAACCTGATTTTGGAAGGAAATATTGGTTATTAAAATGGTGATGTACGGCGGACGGCTGGGCGGGCCTACGGGCGGCTGCCAAACAGTGTCAGCACAATAACATGACAACGCTTTAACAAATTTTTTTTTCAAATTTGAATGTGTTGTTTCCTGGGACTTAATGAAGGTCTAGTTCAATTTTCAAGATATTAATATATCTCCTTTGTGAGTTATTGCCATTTTTAATATTCAAAAGTGGAATTTTTAAATATTTTACTCTTGTTATCTTTTTTATGACTAAGCATAATGTCTTATCTCGCAATAAAAATTGGAGTGACAGATTTATTTGAAAATTATCTATTTCCTAAGTGGTAATGATGATAAGCTATATTATTAGACATTTTGAAGTTAATTACATAATTAATTATTAATTAGATCTGGGTTATATCTTAACATATAATATCATTGGAGTGACAGATTTATTTGAAAATTTTCTGTTTCTTGATAAGATATGTAGGACTGTATATATAAAGTTTGAAACTTACTAGTAGGACTGTTATAAATGAAATTTGAAATTTACTGTTCATTATTAGACATTTTGTAGATAATTAAGTATCTCTGAAACATATATATTCTTACCCCCACCCCTTTTCAATTTGAGAATGTGCTTTTATAAACGGTTGATATTCCCACCCCCAAACCATATATATTCTTGTATGGGACAATAAAATAAATCAAATGAAATAAAAGGCGAGCCCCTGGGGTCACCCCACCCCATCCTGTTTAAGAACTTGTAAACCGTCGAGATCCCCACCCCTAAACCATATATATTCTTGAATGGGACAATAAAACAAATCAAATGATATATAGGGGAAGTCCATGGTGGTCACCCCCACCCCCCTTCTTTTTGATAACTTGTAAATAGTCGAGATCCCCACCCCTAAACCATATATATTCTTGAATGGGACAATAAAACAAATCAAATGAAATTGAGATGAAATCCCCTGGGGTAACCCTCACCCCTTTCTTTTTGAAAACTTGTAAACGGTCAAGATCCCCATGCGGAAACCCCCACCCCCTTCTTTTTGAAAACTTGTAAACGGTCAAGATCCCCATCCCGAAACCATATATATTCTTGAATGGGACAATAAAACAAATCAAATGAAATATAAGCCGAGTCCCCTGGGGTCACCCCACCCCCCTCCTGTTTAAGAACTTGTAAATGGTCAAGATCCCTACCCCTAAACCATATATATTCTAGAATTGGACATTTAAACAAATCAAATGAAATATAAGCCGAGTCCCCTGGGGTCACCACCACCCCCTCCTGTTTAAGAACTTGTAAATGGTCAAGATCCCTACCCCTAAACCATATATATTCTAGAATTGGACAATGAAACAAATCAAATGACATATAGCGGAAGTCCATGGGGGTCACCCCCACCCCCCTTCTTTTTGATAACTTGTAAACAGTCGAGATCCCCACCCCTAAACCATATATATTCTTGAATGGGACAATAAAACAAATCTAATGAAATAAAAGGCGAGTCCCCTGGGGTCACCCCACCCCATCCTGTTTAAGAACTTGTAAACCGTCGAGATCCCCACCCCTAAACCATATATATTCTTGAATGGGACAATAAAACAAATCAAATGAAATATAAGGCGAGTCCTCTGGGGTCACCCCACCCCTCCTGTTTAAGAACTTGTAAATGGTCAAGATCCCTACCCCTAAACCATATATATTCTTGTACAGGACAAAAAAAAATCATATGAAATAAAGGTAGAGTCCCCTGGGGATCACCCCCCCCCCCCCTTTTGAGAACCTGTAAACGGTCGAGATCTCCACCCCTAAACCATAAAAAATAAATTCCTGTTCTTAATTTCAAGAAGATTTGAATGACATACAGGGTCAATCCATAGGCGTCACTAATGCATATCATAAACCAATTTGTACTGGACATTGCCCAATGTCAAGGGACAATGGGAATGACGAATTATTGGAGCTTTGTTTGGGAGATTTCGTAACAGCATTCTGTTACAATTATTTCTTGTTACTGATAAGTTTTATATATTTTGAAATGAAATTGTATTAATGATAAATAAAATTTTGGATTTTTTTCTTCTTTTCTTTGGTAAATTGTTTGTAGAATTTTGTGGCAAGTTTGTTTGTTATTCTGTAAAAACTAATTTTCTGAATGCTATATATATATTTTTTTTTGATGGAGTAAACTCCTTTAAAAACTAAGCTTATATTGTCTATTAATAAACATATATTTAGATTTCTGATTTTGGGCCCAGTTTTCAAGTTGGTCCAAATTGGGAACCAAAATTAAACTGTGTTTGATTTCAACATAAATTGAATATATATAGCGTTCTTTTAAATGCTTATTCTAAACCTGTATTTCTTTTCATTATTAATAAGATAATATCACATTGAGGTCCAAAGGGTCCTAAATAACACTTTTGGTTAATTTCATCAAAAATTGAATTCTTTGGTTTTTTGATATGCCGATTCTAGCAATGTTTGAGTGATAAATGATATCTAATTTTAGAGAACTTAGTCATCACTGGTTGTTGTTATTATATTGATTATAATTTGAAAAATTGCATCATATCTTATTTTAGAGAACTATTTATCCAGTTTGAGTTATTTCCTTTTGCACAGAAAACATTATGGATAAAATTAACCTGTGTTTCATTTCAACATAAATTAAATATATATAGGGTTCTTTCAAATGCTGAATCTAAACCTGTATTTAAATATTAGATTTTTGGGCCCAGTTTTCAAGTTGGTCCAAATCAGGGTCCAAAATTAAACTTTGTTTGATTCAACAAAAAAATTATTTATGGGGTTCTTTGAAATGCTGAATCTAGCATGTATTGAGAGATTTTGGATTGTGGGCTCCTTTATCAAGTTGGTCCACATTGAGGTCCTAAGGGTCTTAAATTAAGCTTTTGTCTGATTTCATCAAAAATTGAATTCTTGGGGTTCTTTGATATGCTGATTCTAATATGTACTTAGATTTTTGCTATTGGACCATAATAGGTATTTAAATGTCCAATTTCAAGTATTTCAGTTCTTAAACCACATTCATTTTGTGTCACAAACCTATGCTGTGTCAAATATTCAATCACAATCCAAATGCAGAGCTGTTTTAAGCTTAAATGTGGTGTCCATACTTGCTCAACAGTTCAGGGTTCGACCTCTTCAGGAAAATCTGGTTTGCTGTCACTCTGACAGCCTCTTGTTGTCAAATTATATACAAAGGTGAATGACCTTACAAAGGTGATCAAGTTCAAATTGGACTTAATTGTATTTTTTTAATCAACTTTTTCTCAGCAATACTTGTCCACACCATAACTGATGTTAATTTGGTTTTTAATTGTTTGAATATAAAGCAGTGTGTGGTTGACCTTCATGTGACCTTATCCAAAGGTCGAATATAGAATTTAAAGGGAAGGGTTATGTTGTTTGTCATCTAAAACATTTCTCACTAGTTTACCTTGTTTTAGGTTAACAAGAAAGCATTGCTGTCACCAGGCACAATTTCTATTAGAGTTGGACAGAGGATTGACAGAAAGAGACTCTGGCAAAAGAAGAATAGCTCCTCAGTTCATTTCAAACGTGACAGATTTAAAAGAAAGGTAAAACTTCATGGCATATAATTAGTCAATTTAGTGACAGCCATATAATAGAAAAAACAAAGGATATGGGGTATCCAGTACATGTACAACAAAAAACACACAAAAAGAAAGGAACAGCTCTTTTATTGAAGTTCTTCATCTCAAAGTCACATTAAAGCCTCAACAGGAAGAAATATATAAGTCTCACCTCGCTGCAATTTAGTGATAATTTTTAATAATACAGAAATATATGATTGAATTCTAAAATTGGAGGCATATTTAGCCTGTTTCTCAGATATGAAGTGCCTTGTTAGGTGTATCCAAAATTCTATTAACCAGTGCAGTACACTCTGCTGTATAAATACAGGTCTATTGATCTCGCTTCCATGAAATGTTTTGAAGTGAAAATTTCAATGTGGATAGGAACGAGGGCCAAGAATAGGTGGTGTGTGTCTTATTTAGATTTTAGTATATGAACTGTCTTACAATTGAAAGCATGATGTGGCATATATAAGAGAAGTTATCTCAAGAATAATTACACCACAACTTTAAAAATACAGAAAAGTCCAGTCAATCTAGCATAAATTTGACCCTAACCTTAAAGTAATTGCAACTGAAGATTTTTAAGTTTTAATCTTCAGCATTATACCCAAAATATACACAGAAAACAGTCTCATAAAATCTTACTAAAGGAAGACTAAAAAAATCACGATTTAAAATTCCTATGGAGATTTGCATTGAAAAGGGAGATAACTCTGCAAAAAAGGCAGAAATATCAATGAAAATTGATACAAAATTATAACTTTACCGCTTCTATTCAACAAAATGTATTGATTCTTGATATTATAGCCGTCTTTAGAGTATAACAAACAACTCTAAAGGTGTTTTCATATCTTTTATCAAGCTACAATCTAGATTTCATAATTCATTAGTTGACCATTTATTGAATTTTTCAACATGTCAAGGTAAAGAATATCAAATTTGATAAAAATAATTAAGCATACATTCTTCTTTTTGTTGATTAAATTTTCTTTAAACAAGGTAGATGCTGAACAAATATAATATACAGATATAAACAATACCAACTTTTCACATTTTTTTTTCAAAATGGTCACAAAGCAACAAATTTGCAATTTCTTAAATGAAAAATGCACCAAAAAAAAATAAAAATACCCATAACACTTCGGTTTTGTACATTTCATGAGCTGAAGATTATATAATATAGTCAAATATAAACTTATAACCCCATCTAAGTATCATCCTTTACATAAATTTTAATAAAAATCAACCAAAAACTGACAAAAGAAGACTCATTTTTGCGGAGTTATCTCCCCTTCCAATGCTAATTTCCATAGGAAATTTAAAAAAATGCTGATTTTGAGTTATCTAAAGTTAGATTTTATGGGACTTTTTTCTGTGTATATTTAGGGCTTAATGCTATAGATTAGAACTTAAACATTTTCTTTTGGAATTAGTTTGACTGGACTAGAAGACCAACATATTGATAAGCACAGGGACATGGTGAAACCTACATGAATTATGTTAAATTTTAAATCGGTAAACTATAATATAAATTGCCAAAGACAATATGAATTGCAATTTGGCCTAAAATAGAGAGAAAACAAGATGATGACATTTCAAAAGAAAGATATGGTTATAAAGAGTTATATTCCCTTTATTTTACAATATACATGTAACAACACAATAAGGTATAAACAAAAGATTTTTCCGAATATTTTCTTTTTGTCTTTTTGTAGCATAAGAAAACTTTTCAACAAATTAAAGCAGCAGTTATAGAAGGAGAAACATATCAACCACAAATTGAAGAAAATGTGTCGGTAAGAGACATTGAAAAGATTCCAACTAAATATTCTTTGGAAGGCATAGACGAATATGTCGTGTTTGATTTAGAAACAACTGGGTTATCAAGAACCTCTGATATAACACAAATATCAGCATATGATGGGACCAACATGCTAAATCTGTATGTGTCTCCAAGACAACCTATTTCATCAAAGGCCAGTGATGTTACCGGCATTACTTTCTCTTTTGAGAGAAACCAAATGTATTGCCATGGTGTTCCAGTTGAAAGCGTATGTATAAGAAAAGCCTTACTTCAACTAATTGAAATGATACAGAAAAAATCTCGTCCTGTGCTTGTTGGTCATAACATCCATTCATATGATGTACCTGTACTAAGAAATTTGTTGCAAGAGTTTAATCTGCTGAGTTCTTTTGATAACCTTATTTATGGATGCATTGACACTTTGAAAATTGCAAAACGTGAAATACCAAAAGCTGATGTTCAAAATTATAAGCAACAAACATTAGTTCAAAAGTTTCTGGAGATTGTTTATGATGCTCATAATTCTGAGGAGGATGTAAGAAGTTTATACAAACTGTTCCATCTTAAACTGAAACAGACATGTTCTGCAAAGGATTTATTTCCGTTTAATTATTTGTCAATTGTAGAGGGTTTTTCTAGTGTCATTGTTAAAAAAAGTTATTTCTAAAGACACTGCAAGGAAACTTTCCTGCACAGGTCTCAGCCTTCATCACTTGGAGCTTGCTTACAAAAGAAACAATGAAGATGGCGTAAAATCCATCATGCAGGAACATGGTTTGAAAGGGAAAACGGCAAATGTGTTCAAGAAGTTTTTTTCTGAAAAAGAGGAATAGACTGTATATCTGGTTAAAGACTGAAAATTTGATATTTATATGCTATAATTCTGTAGAAAAATTGGTTCTGCCTATCTAAAAATCTAACCCTTTGAAACAACCCTTGATAAAAGTTGATGATGAATAAATTGAAGTTTTTACTAAAATTTGAGTAACCAAAGAGTACTTACACTTCAAATATATAAGAATTAGGGATCTGTTATAAAATTGCAGCATCCTTTAGTAATTACTCTGTCTGTACATCTGTCACAGTTTCCTATTTTGTACAATAACCCAAGTTTGCCTCGACAGATACGCAACAATAAGTATCACATGACATATAAATATTTTCCATTTAGTCAATATTGGTGGATAACTTTCTGAAGCCTGAAGGATTATTTCTCTTACAGATTTTTATTTTGATTGACAAATTTTTCAACAGATTTTTATGAACTTTTATACAAACGTAGGTGCTTATGTAACAATACAAGTCAACTGAATATTAATAAAGGGGAGATAACTTTACTTCATCTACATGAACCAACATAATAAGCATTAGGCTAGGCCATAAATCAGAAATGAGGGGACTCATAAGGTTGAATAAAAGTAACAATATTGTAATGTATCAGTTCCAAAGTTTTACCATCTTGCCCATCCCTACCCCACCCCTTTTTCCACATTTTTCTAAGATTTGTTGTAGCAATCTGATCTAAGGGCAAGACTATTGTTTCATATAAAGTTTTAATGGAATATTTTTCAGAGATTGCAGTTTTCATGAAAGTGGACACACGTTTCAGTGAGTCCCTTGGAAACTGAATCTGCCCCATATTTATTTTTTATTTTTGAGAATATACACTTTTGCAAGTTTAATCAACATTCTCATCCTGGATATGTATTGTAAATTGATGTTATATTATCATACTTCTTATATGGTTTGCATATTAGGGAATACTTTGATATAATTGGTCGAGAGGACCTCGGGTAGTTGTTCTTGAAATTGTTTATTTTTCGATAGACGATGTTGACCGAACTTCTTTTTGTAATCAATGAGGCGATAGTAACACAATCCGACTCAATGTTAAAACTATTTATTTTCACTTTGCATTAATCTTTAAATTGAATACAAACACAAAAAATTCATTTGAATGAAAATAAGACTTTTTGTAGTTTATTTTTTTATCAGATAACAAATTACACGGAGTACATATTTTTGCGTTAACCAACAAATAAATTCATGCGCCTGGCCAATTCAATGACACACATATACTACATGTATTGA